CACCGAGCTAATTTTTGTATTTTTAGTAGAGACAGGGTTTCACCATGTTGGCCAGGCTGGTCTCGAACTCCTGACCTCAGGTGATCCACCTGCCTTGGCCTCCCAAAGCAGTGGGATTACAGGCGTGAGCCACCGTGCCCGGCCTTCTTTCAGATCTCTGCTATCTAATTCAGTAATTACAAACCATTTGTGGCTATTAAGCATTTGAAATGTGTCTAGTCTGAATGGAAATGACGTGATTTAAGTGTAAAATTTAAGGGGCAGTCCCATGCTGCCCACTTTGCTGCTCACCTCGCTGCGCAGGGAGCCTTGCTTGCTGCCCAGGGAGTTGCAGATTTCAAAGACTTAGTTCAAAAAGAATTTGTAAAATATCTTAATAATTTTACACTGGTTACCAGTTGAAATGACAATATTTGGATATATTGGTTTAAATAAAAATATTATTAAAATTCATCTCACCTGCTTCTTTTTATTTTCTCTTCCTTTGTTTGTATGGTTTTTTATTTTTTAGAGACAGGATCTTGCTGTGTTGCCCAGGCTGGTCTTGATGGGCTCAAGTGATCCTCTTGCCTCTCAAGTAGCTGGGTCTACAGGTGTGTGCCACAATGTCTGACTTCTTTTTATTTTTTAATGTGGTTACTAGGAGATTTAAAACTACCTATTTGGCTTATATTATATTCCTGCTAGACAGCACTGCTTTAGATAGCAAGGTTCCTGATGCAAGGAAATGTAATTTGATTTACATAAAAGTTTGATTTACAGGGAAGCCTCCTCCCTTCAAACCTCCTATCAGTTGGGTGAAAGAAGGCAGAGGGGGCAAAACTGGGAGAGACTATGTTTTCAGGTGGATAAGTCAGCAGTACAAATTAGACTTCCCAAAGGCCCAAGGCTGAAATGGTGTCAGGCTGGGATGTGGTTAGGAAGGGACAGTCCCTCTTCCACCCAGGGCTGATGCTCCCAGCCTGAGGCCTGAAGACTGGATCAGCTGCAAGAGGAGGAAGACTAGGGACATGTTTTGAGTTCCAAGAGATTTCTGGGCCTGCACAAAACAGGTTCCTTGCTACTCCCACACACAACAATGGATTCCATAGACACATCTCTACACAAAAGACACCGAGACACATTTACAGTCTTACACCACCTCCCTCAAATACCCAGCTACCCACAGTTACACCCACATCCACCTGTAGCCTCGGATATAAACACCGAGAATGCCCAGGGCTACAACTGCCTGGCCTTAGGCTTGCTATTCCCCACCAAGCCCTAGGCCTTAGGCCTTGGTCCTCCCTTAGGCACACCGCCCTTCCCGGTCCCCAGCGCACCCCCTCCTCTTAGTCCAGCTTTGCCCTCTGAACTGGACGCCCACCTGGCAGCGGCGACCTCCTGGCGCTGACGGGCAGCGCTCACGGCTCGACGGGCGCCCTCGACAGCCCTGTCCACCTTCTCCTTAACTTTGCCCCGCCGAAGGGCCAGAGGCAGGAGGCTGCGGACGCGCCCTCCGTGCACCAGCCGGTTGCGCTTGTACTTGCCCTCCTCGCGGGAGCCGTCGGGGCGGGTGGTGCGTCCGTAGCCGTGCCGCCGGTTGCCCAGCCACTCGCCCTCGTAGCGCAGCCCGTTGGAGCGCTGGCTCACGCCGAAGCCGCTGCGCCGGTCTGCGCGCCACTCGCCCGCGTACACTTCTGTGGCCGAGCCCTCGATGAGGGCGGGCGGTGCTGCGGCCGGGGGCCCGCTGGCCTCCGAGCCGGGCGGTCCGGTGCTGCCCACCTCGCTGCTCACCTCGCTGCGCAGGGAGCCTCGCTTGCTGCCCAGGGAGCTGCGACGTCCGCCCGCTCGGAGGCCGCTGAGCAGCAGCGAGCGACGAAAGAATCCACCGGTCGCCGGAGTGCGCTTTCGGGAGGACGCGCCGTCGGCGTCCCCGGGCCCGGCCAGCACGAAGCCGCCCCGGGAGCCCGAGGCGGGGCTGCCTCCCTCGTCGCCCGGCAGGGGCAGGGGTGGGGGTGGCGTCGGGGGGTCGCTGTGGCCGGAATCCAGGGAGGTGCGGCGGGGTGAGCGCAGCAGCGCCGCCTGATGGTAGGGCACACTCTGGCGCACCCCGTAGCCGTGGCGCTTCCCGGCCTGCCACTGGCCCTGGTAGGTGCCTGCGGGCGGTGGAGGGGTGGGAGAAAGAGTCAGGCCGTGCCGCTGGGCTCCTTGCGCCCCAAGTCCCAAGCCCCCCTGGAAGCCCAAGCGTCAGGCGGGAGAGGTGGAGGCGGTTAGTGTGGAGGTCGGGGAAGGGCACTGGGAGCCGGGGACAGGCCAGGCTGGGCGGGAAAGTGTGGAAGAGCAGAATGAAGACGGGCAGGTAGCAGGAGCCCTACGTAGATTTTGGCAGTGCGGGTAGACAGGGGAACGGGGAGGGCCCGGCAGGCGTGCGAAGGACAGGCCGGTGGGGGCGTTTAGATAGGCAAACAGGACTCTGAGTGGCACGCAGAGAGCAGAGGTGTTGGGGACAGGCAGGTAGAGAGGGAGGTGTGAGGACAGGCAGACAGGGAAGGGGTGAGGGAGAAGCGAGCAGGAGACAGACAATTAAGGAAAGCATAATCATCGTGGGAGAAAGCAGAAATTGGGGCTGGAGGTCACATCGATGTGGGGCGGGGGACAGATGGATGGGCGCAGGGGCGCAAATGGAGGGCGAAGGCGCAAGGCTAGGGAAGGCGCACGCGGACGAGCAGACAGACACTAGTGGGCCGGGTCCCGCACCTCCGTCGGAGTAGGTCTCGGTGCCGTAGCCGTCCTGGAAACCGTCCTTCCAGAGTCCGGCGTAGCGCAGGCCGGACACGCTTTCCCACACGCCGCTGCGCCCCTTCAGCCCGCCCAGCCACTCGCCGCGGTACGTCCAGCGGCTCTTGCGCTCCACGCCCAGCCCTTCGCGCTTGCCCTGCTGCCAGTGGCCCTGGTAGCTGTGTCCACCGGGCCCCGTGAAGACGCCCAGTGACTCGAAGCCGTGTGCCCAGCAGCCGCTGTACTCGCCCTGGGCGCCGGGGCCCGTGCACACGCCGTAGCCATGTGCCCGCCCCGCCTCCCAGCCCCCCACGTAGCAGCCCCCGTCGTCAAAGTCGAACTTGCCCCCGGGGGACATGCATGTAGTTGGCGCGGCCTCAGCCCCCCGGCGGCTCAGCGCATCCTGGGGCTGGAGAGCCGGCTGGGGGCCTTGGAGCCCGGCGAGGTCTGGGGGCGGGGGCAGTTAGACCGGGGCCGGGCGGGGGGGCCCCAGCGAGGGCAGGCAGGGCCGGACCCTCATCCTGAGTGGCTGCGGAGAAAGAGGGAGGGGGGCAAGTGGCGAGAGAGGCCCCTCCTCTTTGCCCGCCGCTCCCTGGCCCGGTGGCTCGGGGCATCAGCACCGCCCCCCAATCCACCCCCCTCCTTCGGCAGCATTTTCCAGCAGCTCCCAAGCTTGGGGGGGCATGGGGGCTTCCCCCATTTCTGTTTTTGTGGAGCGGGCCCCTCCCAGGACTTGGGGCCCCAACCCCAAGCGGGAGTCCCAATTCTCCAACCTAGAACCCCGAAGTGTCGAGTGTGGATGGCAGTTTGGGGGTCCTGAGAGGGGGCTGGGCAGAATCGTAGGGCACCCGTTTCCCTGGCTGCTGTCAGGACCCCTCTGTCCCGGTTCTTCGGCGTCTCTGGCAAAGGGATGGGGGTGGGGGTAGAATATGTAGCGGGGAGATCGGACCAAGGTGGGCAGACGGTTTTTCGGGGGCAATGGATGGGGCCCAGGGGAGGCTCTGCAGGGGAAAGGCCAGGGTGGGGACGGGCAGAGAGGCAGAAGGGAGGGGGCAGGCTACTCACCATGTGGGCTGGGGCTCAGGCTGCCTCCCCGGCACAGCATCCATGGCAGGATACCTCCACTCCCACCTCGCCCGGACAAGCCAAGCCCCCTCCCCTTCCGGAGAGACTGCTCCAACCCAGAGAGGAAAGGTGGGGGAGTCCGGAGAGTCCCCTCTCTCCCCGCTGGAGGAGCAGGCTGGGTGGGGGGGGCGAGGTAGTGGCAGGGGTGGGGGAAGATGAGAATAGTGTAGGGGAAAAAATCTGCCTTGGATGGAGATAGGGAAGAAGAGCTGGGAGCTGGATGCAAAGGGGGAGGGGGCTATCAAGAGGGGGTGTTTTTATTATTTTTTTCTTCTTATGGTTGGGAGAGGAAAAATAAATCAAAATTCCGATTCCATCCCAGCACAAATCAATGTTTGCTCCATCCCAGCATCACGGGGGAGGCTGGGCCAGGCAGATTTAAAGGGGCAGGGAGAAAAGAAAAGAGAAGAGGGTGGGTAGAGGAGGATACGGTGAAGAAGAGATAGAGGCAGTGATGCGGGTGGTGGTGGGGTCCCCAAGCAGAAAAGGATGGGTGTCCGCTAACCCTTCGGTGAGGGAGGAGGCAGGCAGAGAGGAGAAGGAGATGCACTGAGACCCCCAGGGAGGAGAGAAATCCTGGCATGCGGGCTGGGAGTGGGGCGAGGCGGAGGGGAGGGAAGAGGAGCGAGGGGGAGGAGACTGAGTTGAAGATGGGGAGGCAGGGGGAGGCTGAAGCCGGGCGGGGGAGGAGAGATGCTGGCGAGGCTGAGAGAGGGTGAGAAGAATACAAAGAAAGAGGTGCAGGGGTGAGCACTAAGGAGGGGGGAGATGCAGCCTGAGAGGGAGGAAGGCGGGGAGACCCATTCTGGGGCTGGGGAGGGATGACAAGGAGGAGAGAAGCAGGGGAGGAGGGAAGAAGGGGGGAAGAAATAGATATGGAGACTGAGAGAGAGAAATAAGGCTCGTGAAGGGAGGGAGAAAGCTCTGCAGAGGGAAGGGCAGGCGTGGGTATAGAGATCCAGGCAGGAAGAGCCCAAATAGAGGCAGGAGGGCCGGAAGTGGTGTTTGTGGGGCCCTAGGGAGAAAGATGAACCTGCCAGCTGCTTGGACTGAAGCCAGAAAGCTTTGGGGCATGGATGCAGGTGTCCACTGAGTCCACTATCTTCCGGAAGAAACCACTGGAGGGGGACCAGGAGGCTCACGCTCTTGCACTTTCTGAAGAAGCCTGAAATGGGACCTTGCTAGGAACGCGGGCCCCATCGATGCTTCTCCAGGCCTCCCCATCCTCCATCCCTACCACCAATTTCTCCCTGGGTTGTCTCTCTGAAGGGGAAGAGGGTTTATTGCTTTTGAATGGGGAGGAGGGCATCATGCTTGGTGATGGCATGAAGATCCCAGGGCTTTAGAATCTTTTCTTTTGCAAACCTTGAGGCAAAGACACATAGACATGTTTGGGAGGTCCCTTATTGTGGCAAGGCCCCCTCCAGCCCACCACCCCTCTGTCCTGTCCTCTCACCAGAGGGCCAGCACATCCTGACCTTGCCGTTTACAGGCAGAAGTAGGCACACACTGTCTTCCCTCTCCTCTTAGTTTACTTAGACTCTGCATCTAGTTCTTTCCCTGCCTCTAAGCCTTTAGGAAGGAGGATACTGTGTCCAATTACATGCAACAGTACATAGTCAAATGCACTCAATTGCCCCTATTTTCATACACAGCTTGGTCCACCACTCCTCCTCCACTGCATCACCATTTTACAGAGAAGAGAACTAAGGCCCAGAGGGGAAGTCATTCACCAGAGGTCATACAACAGAACTGGCAGAGCTAGGAGTAGAACACTAGACTTCAGACCATTTAAGCCCTGTAATTCCTGCCAGGATTCCATGAACTTGGGGACCCTCCCTTAGACTCAGGGCCTCCATTTTGAGTACTTTGGTAAAATAAACAGCATGAGGTTTGGAATAAATAGGGATTTCCCTTGCATCATGTCTTTCCACAATTTATGAGGTTGGAGAAATGTAAAATTTAAGCCTCCAGGAAAGGGACCACATCTTCTAAGTGCTTAGCATAGAACAGGTCAGCTGTGGGTCCACTTGGGGCATGACTGTTGATGGAGAGTTTATTCATTTATTCATTCACTCATTCCTCTATTTATCAAGTATCTACATAGTTTACTGAGTACCACCCACATAGCCAAGTGCTAGAGACACAGTGGTGAACACTGTGGGGCCTGCCCTCATGAAGTTTACTATCTAGTAGTGAAGACAGACAACCAACAAGAAATTCTAGTGTGGTTAGTGCCACAAGTTTGTGGGGTAGGAATAGGGAATAGAGATGGAATTCACCTGAGGCTGGTGCCCTAAAGAAAGAGGCATTTAAGATGAATGCAGAAGGGAGTTCTGGGGCAGGCCAAGCTATGTTGCTCACCCCTAGATATTCAGCCTACAGTGTCAGCCTTTCCTTCTCCACACAGTGCCTTGTCCCACTCCACCCCTAAAATTCCCCTTTTCTCCAGGAGAAAGGGAAAACAAGAAAAGAAAAACCAATGTATGGTCCTGGAACACCCACGCCTTGTTTCTTAGGGAGAAGAGGTAACAGGGGTAAGTGGAAGTTGGAATGTGATGCCTTGTTGGACGCTATACTGTCTTCTGAGCTGCAAATTAAGTGTAGCGTCCAATAAAGTCCTGAAGAAATCTCTGACAGAAGTGCCCCAGAACATGTGGGATGCACAGTCCCAGCGCCGCCCCCATGTCTACCTGAGTGAGTTAGCCTTCCAGCCCCTTTCTGTTCTTTCCCTACAGGCTCTACAACTCCCTCTTTCAGGGCAGGGGCACTTTTTTTTTTCTCCAGAGAGTGCACTGGTTTGTTTTGCCACAATTTACCAACATTCAGGTGTCAGAGAAAAGGGAAGTAACGTTCGACGGAGCGGCTCTGTGCTTGGAGCCAGGTACTGTGCTTGGCATGCCATCTGTATGACCTCATTCCATCCTCACAGCAAAACTGTCCCTGTGAGCGGTCCAGGCTGGAGGCCTGGAGCTAGGTTTCCAAGGATGGTCAGACCTATGTCTGAATCCTAACTCTATCTGCCACCTACTAGTTGGGTGAATCTGAGCATATTACCTAACTTTTCTGAGCTGCAGTTAGTTTATCTCTAAAATAGGAATATCACAATCTACTCCATGCCTTATTTTGAGGATCGAAATTATCATGTATGAAGTGTAAGTATGCATAATATGTATAAAAATATAAGGAGGGAAAGGCAGGGCGCGGTGGCTCACGCCTGCAATCCCAGCACTTTGGGAAGCTGAGGCGGGTGGATCACGAGGTCAGGAGATTGAGACCACAGTGAAACCCTGTCTCTACTGAAAATTCAAAAAATTAGCTGGGCGCGGTAGCCGGCGCCTGTAGTCCGAGCTACTCCAGTGAACCCGGGAGGCGGAGCTTGCAGTGAACTGAAATCGCACCACTGCACTCCAGCCTGGGTGACAGAGTGAGACTCCGTCTCAAAAAAAAAAAATAAATAAAATAAAAAATAAAAGGAGGGAAAACCACTTGGCATAGTGTCCAGCACATAGTAAATGCCCAGTAAATAATGGCTTGAAAATTACATTGGCATTATGCCAGTTTTATAGGTGAGAACTCGGGGACCCAGCAGTTCCTTAATTTGCTTCATGTTGCCCAGCTAATATATCGCAGCCCTTGGAGCTTGATATATATCAGACTCCCAAGTTAGTATGCTTTAACAAATGCAATTTTGGGGGTCTTGTTTATAAAAGTAAAACATGCTCATTGTAGAACAGGAAAATACAGCACAATATCAAGAATAAAAATTAAAACCACCTATAGTCTCGCTGTATAACAGTTTAGTATATTTTTATATAGTCTTCTATGTACTTTTAACATAATTAATTAAATGGTGCATATACAATTTTGTATCCTACTTATTCACTTAGTTTTCATTGTAAGCATTTTGTTTTATTATTACACTTTAAGTTCTGGTATACATGTGCAGAATGTGCAGGTTTGTTACATAGGTATACTTGTGCCATGGTGGTTTGCTGCACCCATCAACCTGTCACCTACATTAAATATTTCTCCTAATGCTATCCCTCCCCTAGTACCCCCACCCCCCGACAGGCCACAGTGTGTGATGTTCCCCTCCCTGTGTCCATGTGTTCTCCTTGTTCAACTCCCACTTATGAATGAGAACATGCAGTGTTTGGTTTTCTGTTCTTGTGATAGTTTGCTGAGAATGATGGTTTCCAGCTTCATCTGTGTCCCTGCAAAGGACATGAACTCATCTTTTTTATGGCTACATAGTATTCCACGGTGTATATGTGCCACATTTTCTTTATCCATTCTATCATTGATGGACATTTGGGTTGGTTCCAAGTCTTTACTATTGTGAATAGTGCCACAATAAACATACGTGTGCATGTGTCTTTATAGTAGAATAATTTATAACCCTTTGGGTATATACCCAGTAATAGGATGACTGGGTCAAATGGTATTTCTGGTTCGAGATCTTTGAGGAATGGCCACACTGTTTTCCACAATGTTTGAACTAATTTACACTCCCACCAATAGTGTAAAAGCGTTCCTATTTCTCCACATCCTCTCCAGCATCTGTTGTTTCCTGACTTTTTTCTTTTTTTCTTTTTTCTTTTTGAGACAGAGTCTCGCTGTCACCCAGGCCGGAGTGCTGTGGCGTGATGTCGGCTCACTGCAAGCTCTGTCTCCCAGATTCACGCCATTCTCCTGCCTCAGCCTCCTGAGTAGCTGGGACTACAGGCAGCTGCCACTACGCCCGACTAATTTTTTTTTGTATTTTTAGTAGAGACAGGATTTCACTGTTTTAGCTAGGATGGCCTCGATCTCCTGACCTCATGATCGGCCTGCCTTGGCCTCCCAAAATGCTGGGATTACAGGCGTGAGCCACCGCGCCCAGCTGTTGTTTCCTGACTTTTTTTTTTTTTTTTTTGAGACACAGTCTCGCTCTGTCGCCCAGGGTGGAGTGCAGTGGCATGATCTTGGCTCACTGCAACCTCTGCCTCCGGAGTTCAGGCAATTCTCTTGCCTCAGGCTCTCAAGTAGCTGGGACTACAGGCGCCTGCCACCATGCCCAGCTAATTTTTGTATTTTTAGTAGACACGGAGTTTCACCATATTGGCCAGGCTGGTCTTGAACTCCTGAGCTTGTGATCCACCTGCCTTGGCCTCCCAAAGTGCTGGGATTACAGGCGTGAGCCACCGTGCCCAGCTTGTTTCCTGACTTTTAATGATTGCCATTCTAATTGGCGTGAGATGGTATCTCACTGTAGTTTTGATTTGCATTTCTCTAATGACCAGTGATAATGAGCATTTTTAAATATGTTTGTTGGCTGCATAAATGTCTTTTTTTTGAGTAGTGTCTACACATATAATTTTCCCACTTTTTGATGTTTTTTTTTTCTTGTAAATTTGTTTAAGTTCTTTGTTGATTCTGGATATTAGCCCTTTGTTGGATGGATAGATTGCAAAAATTTTGTAGATTGCCTGTTCTGTAGGTTGCCTGTTCTGTAGGTTGCCTGTTCACTCTGATGATAGTTCCTTTTGCTGTGCAGAAGCTCTTTAGCTTTTAAATTAGATTCCATTTGTCAATTTTGGCTTTTGTTGCCATCACTTTTGGTGTTTTAGACATGAAGTCTTTGCCCATGCCTATGTTCTGAATGGTAGTGCCCATGTTTTCTTCTAGGATTTTTATGGCTTTAGATCTTACATTTAAGTTTTTAATCCATCTTGAGCTGATGTTTGTGTAAGGTGTAAAGAAGGGGTCCAGTTTCAGTTTTCTGCATATGGCTTGCCAGTTTTTCCAACACCGTTGATTAAATAGGGAAACTTTTCCCCATTGCTTGTTTATGTCAGGTTTGTCAAAGATCAGATGGTTGTAGATGTGTGTGTTGTTTCTGAGGCCTCTATTCTGTTCCATTGGCCTATATATCTGTTTTGGTACCAGTACCATGCTGTTTTGGTTACTATAGCCTTGTAGTATAATTTGAAGTCAGGTAGCGTGATGCCTCCAACTTTGTTCTTTTTGCTTAGGATTGTCTTGGCTATGTGGGCTTTCTTTTGGTTCCATGTGAAGTTTTAAGTAGTTTTTTCCAATTTTGTGAAGAAAGTCAATGGTAGCTTGATGGGGATAGCATTGAATGTATAAATTACTTTGGGCAGTATGGCCATTTTCATGATATTGATTCTTCCTATCCATGAGCATGGAATGTTTTTGCATTTGTTTGTATCCTCTCTTATTTCCTTGAGCAGTGGTTTGTAGTTCTCCTTGAAGAGGTCCTTCACATCCCTTTATTAAGTTGGATTCCTAGGTTATGTTATTCTCTTTTGTAGCAATTGTGAATGGGAGTGTATCACTCATGATTTGGCTCTCGTTTGTCCGTTATTGGATGTATAGGAATGCTTGTGACTTTTGCACATTGATTTTGTATCCTGAGGACTTGCTGAAGTTGGCTTATCAGCCTAAGGAGATTTATGGGGCTGAAAGATTTATTTTTTTTTTTTTTTTTTTCTGAGGATGAAATCTCACTCTGTCTCCCAGGTTGGAGTGGTGCGAGTGGCGTGATCTCGGCTCACTGCACCCTTCCCCTCCCAGGTTCAAGCAATTCTCCTGCCCAGCCTCTGAGTAGGAGGATTACAGCTCCCGCTGCCCATGCCTGGCTAATCTTTTTTTTTTTTTTTCTTTTTTTGAGGACAGAGTCTCACTCTGTCACCCAGGGCATAGTGCAATGGCGGGATTCTCAGTCATGTAACCTCCACCCTCCCCAGGTTCAAGCAATTCTCCTGTCTCAGCCTTCCGAATAGCTGCGATTACAGGTGCACACCACCAAAGCCTGACTAATTTGTATTTTTAGTAGAGATGGGTTTCACCATGTTGTTCAGGCTGCTCTCGGACTCCCAGAGCCCTCAGGTGATCCACCTGCCTCGGCCTTCCAAAAAGTGCTGGGATTACAGCTGTTGACCACTGTGCCCGGGCCTATTTTGTATTTTTAGTAGAGACGGGAGTTTCGCCATGTTGACCAGGTTGGTCCTCAAATCCTGAGCCTCAAGTGATCTGGCCCACCTAGCCTCCAACGATGCTGGGATATTACAGGTGTGAGCCCCAGGGCACATTGTAAGCATTTTCCATTGTCATTAAACCATCTTGATTTTTAAATGGCTATATAATATTCCAATTATTTGGATGCACAATAATTTATTTATTTTAGCATAGCACCTTTTACACTTTTGTATTTTTTTCTGTTAAAAATTAACAAGGACCAGGGCGTGGTGGCTACGCCTGTAATCCCAGCACTTTGGGAGGCCAAGGCAGGTGGATCATCAGAGGTCGCGGAGTTCAAGGAACCACTTGACCAGCATGGAGGAAACCCCTGTCTTACTAAAAAAAATATTTTAAAATTAGCTGGGAGTGGTGGCACATACCTGTACGTCTCCAACTACTTGGGAGGGCTTAGCAGGAGAATCACTTGAATCTGGGACGGTGGAGGTTGCAGTGAGCAAAGTTGCGCCATTGACTCCAGCCTGGGCAACAGAGCAAAACTCTGTTTAAAAAA